ATACTGTTATCTTTTATGCGGCTGAAGCATATTCCTTTTGAAACTGGGAAAGATTTCAGCACATGTCTGGTCTCAGCACTTGTTCCGACTGCTGTATACGAAAATAGCTGAAGAGCATTGCGTGACAGGCGTTTCATAATCATCCCGACGGTCACTGGGATTTATCAACACGATGGCAGTCTCAAACGAGCAAAGACAAATACGAAAATATAACAGATTAGTTAGAGGTGAAAGTTGTCGTTAAAACGACATGAAATTGGGGGGAAATCAGTCCCCAGATTCGCAGCGATTTAACGTTATACATAGAGAAGCTCTTTATTGTAACCCACGTCTGAAACCGACATATCAAGTGTCCTGAAGGCAGTGATGATGAGTGTTTCCAGTGGAGTCTTATCTATGCTTATGTTTTTGTAATGTTTGCCCTCTTCATTCCCTGTCGCACACATTCAAGGATGATACTGCTCCATTCTTCAAGAAGCCTGTTGGATTTTTAGTCGTTATTTCTGATGGTTATTTTACATTCTGCCCTTGATTCTGCATTATGTAAAACACTGCACCTTCAAACTAAATTGTTAGTTGTTACCAAGGCGACATATATGTAAGTCAAGCACCAACAACCAATGGACCCTGCTCATGTGTTCTGCACTTTAGTTAGTGAGTGTTTTCGACGTAAAGGATTTATCTGTTTGCAGTACGTTTACAGTATAACATTTACAGTACATCCACGCAGGATCGTGCGTCAACTAATATCTCTCACAATGCATGATGATCTCAAAATGCTTCTCACTAAAGTTTCCCAAAGAGAATCTATGATTTTTTTTTGCACAATAGTTGGGCAATCGAACTCAAGTGTCTCCGATAAAAAGTAAAACATCAGCGTCGTGCAATGCATGGGATCAGCAAAGCAATTTGACCAATTTGCAAATGACCATTTTTTTCCCCCTTTCTCATTTCCCAAATGCACTCAAACTGCAGTCGAGATCGAGAGAAGAGTTATGCAAAAGGTTAGCTATAACAAATGCTTGACAATATTTAACTGTGAGTTTCGGGGGGAGGGATATGAACAGTATTTGGGGGAACTCCCTCCCCCAAAACACTACACTTTACCAGTATTCAAAATACAGTACATCCATACAGGAATGTGCGTCAACTAATATCTCTCATAATGCATGATGCTCGATATAAGTAAAGATATCAATAATTGGCTCATGCTTCACTGGAATGTGGGCATTTAGGTGATATTTTATTTTTCCTGAATAGGAGCCATCAGGAACGATAGTAATCAGTTAATATAGCGCCCTCTGGTAAGAAACTGGCAATAATACACATTTTGATTCGGTTCCTGATGTCTTTCAGTTTTTCTCTTGCTGTATCTGCACATATGCATGATGTTTCTGGAATTCTTCTTACCTCAGTACTACATAACAAGAACATGACGGTCTGAACATTTCAACTGTTATGCTGATCCTATAAGTAATTGTTGCCCAATTAAGCTGGAACTGTCTGCTGACAAGAGATAGAATTACAGAAACTCTGGTAACAATAACACTATAGACAACCATATTTGCATACCATAAAGATGAAAATATCAGATAATAATCGTCATAGGTTATAATCAATATGATATAGATGCGCATTTAAGAAACACCCAGAAAAGAATAAAATGCAAGAAATAATGATACTATAATAATAGTAATAATCCTTGCATTTGATATAGCGTCTTATCATGTCATTGAGACGTCTCAAAGCACTTCACAGAATATACTGTAAAGTGAATTGACCATATTTGTGGCCAAAACATACAGGAATGGTACTGTTACCTTTGTAAAATAATACTCATGAAAATTTAACCAGAATGTTATACATTATAAGTGCTGGATTTCTAAATAACTTAGTTACAAACAGCTTGGTAACACGTATCTCCACTTGCTATAAGAATTGGCAGATTGCCTATTGAAATGATTAACTGGATTTGTGTTGTGTAATCCAAAATAATTTAAACATAGTCTGAATTAGGATGGATATTCAGGACAAATTAGATCAAATAGGCCGAAGGGCCTTCCTCATCTTTACCTCCTGTCATTTTGTGCCATTCTTATTAACATTCAAAATAAGAATTGCCAGTTACATTGCTTGTTACTGATGAATGGGCGTCACAGTAATAAGTAGACATGATTGCTTTAATACCACATAGACCAATTGTATATTAATACTTTAACCCTGAACACCACTTTAAATATATAAACACAAACACTGTACATTAAAAATACCTAAGTAAATAATGTGAACAAACTTCACCTCAAATGCATCTGTACTAACATATGGCACAGCTTTGAAATAAATATATAGAAATTATGATATAAATGTTGTCAATTTTGGTTGCTGTAAAAAAATCTAAGCCATTTATATATTGCTGATGAAATCTCCTGTCAGAAGATGTATATCTGATTATTGTAACTATAAAGCAATGAAATAATCTCTGTTTAACCTATAGTTGATGGGTTTACAGATACTCAACCCAACAATACCAGTGTTTGCTTAACAACAGAATACATTTTCTGTAAGAATCTGATCTATTAAATCTGCTTTGTTCTTTTCAATTCTGTCAATCAGAGGGAAGAGAGATTGAGAAGACAATGTTCTGCAAATTCTTCAATAATCTATTTTGTCTTAAATTAACACAACTGATCTCTCTTCAGGTTTATGTTCACCGTGGTTCTCTGTGTTGTTGAAATCGCCTGCCTGCCTCTTGTACGCAATGCTGTCAATTATACATTACATGGTGGAGCGCTTTCATACTTAGCTTTCAAAATTCCTTTGGGCGTTGAATGCAGTGAATATCTCAGTAGTCATACTGTATACACACCATTTCAACTCAAGCTGCAATTGCATCAGACATCTCTCTTATTTCTATACCACATATCACTGAAGGTCTATAAGGAAACCAATGCTCATTTTATGTTGCATAGCAAATGATAAGGTTATAACAGCCTGGACTAGTTTAGATGTTATAAATTAAAATTCCTTTTCAAATTTTTTGAAATCCAGTTATATGTTTCATCTATATCTGATTCTGTCCTATGTTATTTCCCCATGGACTTGCACTCAATCCTGCTCATATCAGTTTCAATGACATATCCAATAATACAATACAAATCTGGTACAACATTGCTATGAGTGCACCATAATATAACATCAAGAAAATCTTCTCACATGCCAATGCACAAACATAAATTTGCATGTTTCTTTTTCTGCCAGTAATCATGCTTCCGGGTAATATTCCACAACATAAAGATCTTAACTAACAATTGGTGACATTTGTAAAACTTCATGTTTACCGGAGAGTAAATCTCGTCTGTCAGGACATGTGCAGTACTGTATAATTGAAAATGAAGCAGCGAAGACTCAATATACAGCTTAAATATAGTGTTTTATTCGAGAAGCTCTTTAGAGCTTATTGCAGGCATTTCATCACACTGCACTACCGAATGTACGGTGTAGATCCATTACCATTACTTCTAAATCTTTATGGTTTGTGTAACAAAAATGTATTTAATTGCCATCAAACGTATACTTGTCTTCTTCATACTTACAATCTTACAGGCTGCAAGTGTGCTTATCCCCCTCCCCTTACTACACAAACAATTATTTGAAAGCTCTTCTTAATCCGTTATCACGAGTCTCGGAATAGCCACGTTTCCAAACGATGCTCCTCTATATGTATAACACTCCGCATTATAATCAATGGTGACGTTCCAGAGAATGGACATGACACACATATACAGTATTTGATTCCTTTTGCATTCATATTCAATATAACAAATGCGCATAAATCTCTAACATTAATTGATTAACCGCCTACTGAGTGGTAGTTAATATGTTTTGAGCATTCCTGACAATGAAAAGGCATTGCATGAAAACGCTGACTTATACTGCAGAGCTTGTTCGTGTTAACATGACATATGGAGTGGCAACCTATGCAAATCCTTGGATGGTTGGTGGTGGTGGGGGAGAACACGCCTGAGTGTTTAAACACCAGATTTGTCTAACATGTCGCATCCAACAGTACCACATTGACAATCCCACCAAACCAAGGTGTCTGTGTGCATTGGGATCCATAAACCCCAACAGAGCGCGCTTGTTGCTGGCACCGACCAACGTGTTGTGTTCCCTGACGCCCGGTGCCTTTCGTGGCTGAACTACTTGTGGTGGTCTTCCCGAGCTCTGGCGGAATATAATGTTGATTGCTCGGTTTGGACTGGATTGTGTGTGTGTGTGTGTGTGTGTGTGTTTTTTTTGCAAGCGCCTAACTCGGAGCGATCACAGCAGCGACGGAGGTCTTTTGAACGAGTTCGCTGCAGCACAAACCGCGACGGGAAACTCCACGGTACACGTCGCACCGCTTTCACCGCTTTCCAGGAAACAATTTCCAGCAGTGCTGCCCCGAAAATAAAATAAAACAACAACAAAAAAAAAGAAAATCACGAGCACGGGCGGGCGGGGCGGGCGTGTAGCCTGGAACCGGGGATGTCTCCACGCTGATGCTTCACGTCCAATCCTACACTGCAAGTCAAGTGCTGAGATCCACGTAACAGGCGATTCATTCACTCCAGGATCCCAGTGGGGCGTTGGGGTTTCGAGGTGAGACTGAATGACTCGGGCGGTCCGTCCTCGGCGGCAGTTTCCTGCGGCTCAGTCGTTGACTCTCGTTGCAATAGCAAAAGCGCAAAAGCGGGGTTTACTGATCATAGCTTTAGGCAACAACGCACCGGGTTGACAAAGGCTTTTTTTTTAGGGGTGGGGGTGGGGGTGGGGGGGGGGGGGGGGGGTGGGGGGTGATATTATAGCAGGACATACATTTGTCTGAATGCATAAGCTAAACCAAGCAATAATCCGGATCAGCAGCCGCAAGGTGCATCGTTTCTTTTTTGCAGATGCCCCCGCACCCCCCCCCCCCGACCCCCACCCCCCCCCCCCCCCCCAGTGCACCGTCGGCTTACCTTTTCCAGGCAGGTCAGCGGAGCTGCGGCGAGAAGCTGCAAAGTGGTTCGGTTTTCTAGATCCGAAAAATCAGTCGGTTCCCTACCATTCGAGCTCAAAGGGAATTGCGGGCCCCGGTGAGTTCACGGCGTGTGGGTTTTTTTTTATATATATATAAAAACGCGGGGTCCCCCGGTCGATCTGGACACGTTAAATGCTCGAACAGGGGACTGGCGTCTGCTGCTCTGGGCTCTGGCGGACAGGCAGAGCAACGAGCGTCAGTCAGTCAGTCAGTCAGTCACTGTGCATCATACACTCCATATATTCCCTTTCTTACAGAAGTAGTAACGTGGTTAGTTGATGTCATATGGTCTGAGTCTGCGCCGCCACGAACAGTCCGCCCCCCAGTGCAGAGAGCGCCCCATCGCCCTCCACCGCTGCTCCGGACACTCGGGGCTGATGTGATCCGCCGATGCAGACGGTCAGCATCGGCTCGGGATGGTTAGACCGCGGGACACCGGGAACCCGGGTCCAAATCCCACTCTCACATGTCCGTTGCGTCGCTGTGTTTGAGGTTTCCACCCAAACAGGCAGAAGCCTTATTTAATTATGGGATGGATTCCACTCTCAATGTGTCGGGTGTATTTTTTTTAATTCGTTCATTTATTTTTATACATTGTGATGTATAAAAATATTATCCTGGACTCGCATTTGACAGCTCGAGTGCTCGAATTATTTTTGTGGCGGATACGTTAGTTTGCGTTCTTTTAAGTGCATTCTTTTAAATGTCAAGACGGTAAAAAGAAAAGAAGAAAAAAAGAGAGAAAACGCGAGGTTGACATTCCTCTTTCAGGCGATCGATCGATGGATCGATCGAGAGGATCGATGCCAACCCTTCACAGCCTGAATAATATCAAACCCCTTTCGTTTTTGCAACAGTGAATCTGGTCCAAATCATTTTGGATCACACTATTCCACTGTACATGCACTTATTTAATTGAAACGCATTCATTCAGCTAAATCACTGCCCATATTTTGCGAGATATTAAACATTCTGGTCACGTACTGGTTTTGCTATTACCGTCGAGTGGGCTATAAATAAGCACTTTTTGTTGTCAAGATAATGTAAGACCGTGTTTGAAACGCCTGCAGGTCGAACTTGCGGTTTATGCACTTAGTGACAGACTAATTCTCACTGTGGATGAAAGAGAGTTGAAGGATTAAATTGTGACATTTTTTTTAAAAAAAATCAAAACCTGTGATTTTAGTTGCCTTTAATAAATTGAGAATAAGCAGAGAGGGAGCATCACGTTTTCAGCACTGTTGGTAAATAAATATTGGTGGAAGTGTTCATTGTCTTCAGTAGGTCAACATAATCCTCCTTTGCTGTCAGTTTCACAACAAATATTTTTCAGGATGGCATTCCACACGAAGTGGCATTCCTTAGCATCTTCAAACTCTTCACCTAGATTTACTATTGCAAACCTGGACAGTTATTAATAAGACATTTTTAAATTACAGGTTGGTCAATACATTTTTTTTTACTTCCAATTGATTTTTTTTCATGGTAATGGATTCACCCAACCACTGAAATTTAACTGGAGTTTTAGGAAATCAGAAGCCACTTAAGTATTGTATTTCACATAACTTTGCCGCTTCTGTAGCATAGGTGAACTAGTGTGAAATAAACGTTTAGATTTAACGGTTTACGTGTAACAGTTTCTCCCAAGACCTAAATAAAAAGGCACTGGCTGGTGCGGCAACACACTATACAGACCAGAAGATTCAACCCTTGGTCTCTTCTGAACTACAGTGACATTGGGGCAAGTTGTTGGTATGATGCAATAAGCATTAGTACTCTTGGGAAAGGGAGAGAAAAATCATTCTGAGTTTCCACTTCTGAACACTACCAGATACCTGCAGACAAGTACACCTGTGTGGACTTTGGGTAGGAACAGTATTAGGTGTGTTTTAACTTTGATGCCCACCATGGATGATTAGCCTGTCAACACTCACTATCCAGACTGACATGAAAAAGACTACTGGGGCAAGATTATATGGCAGCTATAATCAGTGTATTTGATATAGTGCCTTTCACATTAGTCTCAAAAGAACTTTACATTTACTATAAAGTGTAGTGACTTTATTTTGGAGGTGAACGCGACAGCCAATTTGCACACAGCAATGTCCCATACAAAGCCATGAGGTCAATGACCGGATTTATCTGTGGGATTATTGGCTCGGACAATATCCATGGATATATACATACCTCAGCAAAAGTCATCATCTTCAGGATGGATGGAGAAGGGATGGTTTTAAAACTATTAAATTCGGAAAGGTCTTGACAATCCACAGGATTATCTGCAATGTTTTTAACGTTTCTGAAAAAAGCAGGAGAGGCAGTTTAATAATTTTACAAATTAAACAACATTGGATGTTGCTTAATGGAGTTCCCTACGTGCACCATAGCCCACTTTTCTTGCACTGAACCTAGAAGCAGAGTGATATGGATCTGGGAGTATAATTTGTCTGTTCAATTACATAACTCAGTGTCAAAATGATGCCCGTATAATGACAACATCTGATGGTACAGTAGTGATGTTTACTATCCTTATTTATCCATATTTATCAAGTGTGTCAGCCAGGCTCAATGGTAACACTCTCACTTCTGAGTCAGAAGGTAGTGTGTTCAAGCCCCACATAGGGAACTGGAATCCCATAGGGATGGCCAACTTGCAGCCTACAGGCTGCAGAACGCATGCATAAACTAGTGACACAGGCTACAAGTTGGCCATCCCTGCTCCAAACTGACACTCCAATGCACCGATGGTGTCATGTTGCATTGTCGGAGGTACCGTCCTTCAGATAAGACGTTAAACCGAGGTCCCATCTGCTTGTTCAGGTGGACATTAAAGATCTCATGGCACTATTCAAAAAAAGGGGGTTTCTCTGTGTCCTGGCCAATAATTCCCCAAGTAGAATTGGTCACTGTTTGTGGGATATTGCTGTGCACAATTGGCTGCCGCATTTCACCCAGAAAATACGCAGGCAATCTACTTTACAGTATATCCTAAGAAGCATTTTGAGACATCTTGACGATGTGTTAAGGTGCTATACCAAATTCAAGGATTTTTTTTATTAATATCACAGTACACTAACTGAAAAACATTTTTCAGTTATTTGTAGTCACAAGTTGGTTATTGTACGTTTTCCATTTTTTTGGTGATAAGTTTATTCTGTTATAATAGACTCAGATTACAAACATAAAAGAGTTTTTGAAATTTCTTAATTTAAGACTTTACAACTATTGACCCAAGTATTTATTCTTGTATTTCAATTGAAGATAATAATAATCCTTGTATTTGATATAGCGCCTTATCACATCTTCGAGACGTCTCAAATCACTTCACAGAATATATTATAAAGTGAATTGACCTTACTTTGGGGGCAAAACGCGGGAGCCAATTGCGCACAACAGTGTTCCAATACAGTCGTGGATTGAGTGACCAATTTATTTATTTTTTCTTAAGGAATTATTACTCCCAGAAAAGCGATCCACCAATTGAACAACAACCGGGTTCCTACTTAATGCTAGGTGAACAGAGGCATGTAGAGTAAGGAAATTTGCGCAACGTTTCGACCTGCCAGGATACTAGTTATGCCAAACACAGTGAATAAAACTACAGTAAAATATTCCATAATTGCATTTATTTCAGCAGTTTAATTTCAAGCTTTATTGTATTTTTAATCTGGTTCTTATCTAGATTTTTTTTGAAATATTAAATAGACATTCAAACTAGTTGAATGTTAAATAAAAATTAAAAAAGTACTTGCGATGATCACAATATCAAATAATATTTCAAGGAACACTCTTGGGAGCCCATTTTGTAAGTATACTATTGTGCTTTATTAGATCAGAATGTTGCAAATTGCTTCAAAAGTAATTTCTATTAAGTAGTGACTGTATAATGTAGTACCTTATCATACCAAACCTCTAATTAAGTCAACTGACTGTTTGAAAAGAATACATACACTAAAAGTAAGCTTTTCTCACTCTTAGGTGATTCATAAAATAAAATATAATGTCTTGCAATGATCACAATATCAAATAACATGTCAAGGAACACTTTTGAGGGTCCATTTGATTTGATAAATGTTATAAAAGTTTCAAAGCGCTGTAGCTTCCAAGCTGTGCATCAATTGTAATAAAGATGTTAATTGCATAAGTAATTCAAGATACTCACACTAGTTTGAATGTCTCTATTTGTTTGTTCCAGGCCAGATGGCAACAAAACATAATAGGTTTAGATGTCAGCTTGAGTAAGATGGTAGCACCTTTGAATCACCTCTGAAACAGAAGGTTGTGCGTTCAAGCCCAACATCTGGATTTTGAACTCATAGTCTAGGCTGACACATTGGTACAGTGCTGTGAGAGCGATGCATTGTTGGAAGTGCGATCCTTCAGATGATATGTTAAGTCAAGGTACCGTCTGCCTGTTCAGGTGGGCATTAAAGATTCCACGGCACTATGGAAAGGAAGTTGTTCATAAGAACATTAGCATTTCCTAGGTGAAATAAGACCAAGGTCCATCTTGTTTGCCTTCCACCATCCTGGAAGTCGTTTGACATGTTGTGTTCCAAACTCTATACTGTTCAGTGTTCTGTCCCCAGATAAAATTGTTTATTTACATCCCCACTGATTGTAACATAGCTGCTGCATTCACCTACAGAAAGTCACAACAACTTGCATCCTTCGCGTGGCATTGCGTGTTGGATAGCCACTTTGAAATAGCCTATTAATGTGAAAGGCACTGTAAGATATGCAACTTTATTATTATTTAACTGTAGAAGTTAAGGCCATCAGACTTCCCCCCATCATTAGGAGGCATTGAGTCCTTAGTTGGCAGTAAAGGATAGAATGACCGGGTGTAATGGGGATTTGGAAGACATGCCTAATGGTAGGTCGAGTGACGAATAGTTGTATCAAGAGTATAAAGCTGTGCAGTCTGAATGAAAATAATTTCATGCAAATTATATCAAAATAACACTTTGCTACATAGAGTTGTGAAAAATATATTGGACTTTCATTACTATACAGCACATGCATATTCTTTAAGATGACACAAATGTCATTTAAGAAAGACTATTAGTCTTTTATATGTCAAAAATATGTTTATTCAACATTTGCAGCAAAGTAGTTCTGAGCTTCCTTTATGTTAATTGTATTCTCAGTTTAATTATACTTACCTCTTTGCGGATTTTGATGAAATACTTGAGGATAAGCAGGAACCAGATGGGCCTGGAGAATAGCACTCAGCACATCACTCTGTACTTGCGATACATCCCTGTCAACACTGAAGGCCACCCATTTCCCACTTGAGTAACTCCCACCCATGTGCTTTTTATAGTTGAGGATGAATCACAGGCCATATCAAAAGAGGGGATACACAGTGGACAGTTTGTTGACAGTTTGTTAACAAAAGGCTCAAATTGGCCAGTGACAATCCTCCAAAGGAACCTGTGGATACATTGGACAGTGTAACATGTCAGGCATGTCCTATAATCCATCCACAGGATTTTGGATACTGGTCAGATTAGTGAAGCTGTACAATAACAGGGTGAAACTGTGCAAGTTCAATTGACTATGCATATCATTCCTTTATGAAAACTATGCAGGAAGCTGGGATATATTTGGTTCCGCCATTGCCGATGGTGGGTCAGTTAGGTCGGGGGGGGGACATGAAGCAGCCATGCCTTGAGTGAGGGAGTGCCAGGTTTTTAGATTTATGAAGAGGTTGAAGTGGTCAGCTGAGGCAACACCATGGAGTGATTTATAGGTAAGAATGAGGATCTTAAACTCGATCTGCTGGAGCATGGGGAGCCAATGGAGCTGGGTTAGGATGGAGGTGTCAAAGGTGGTAGAGAGAACAATAAGAGCAAAGGTCACAGCTGAGCACAAGGTGATTGGTGACTTTGATCAGGACAATCTCACTATCATAGGCTGGAAGGAAACTGGATGGGAGGATACATCCATGGAATGCCGGGAAAGGTAAGAATTAAACTGGGAAGCGATGACTCATTTCAGTACCTTGGAAAGGATAGTTTGAGATGGCATGGTAATTTGAGAGCATGAATGGGTGAAGAGAGGGTTTCTTCAAACCTCAAACCTAACTGTTCGTCGGCAGATTTGGCTGGACCATGTCAAATCCTACTGCTTTGCCCTCACCTCTGCTAAATCATCGTTCTACTCCAAGACAAACTTGGAGTCTAAGGACAACCCCAGGCTCCTCTTCTCCATCATGAACTGCCCACCCTCTCACGCAGCACCCATCCTCACCTCAAATGCCAACTGCAAGGGAATTCGCTCAGCAGCCTCTGCCACTACATTAGCTATCCCCTCCCCATCTCCTCCTCCACCCGGCCCCTATCTATCTATCCCTCCCTCCACACCTTTGAACCTATCTCCCCCTCCACTCTGATCACCACCATAACGCATATGTAATCCACCACCTGCTCCCTCGACGCCATCCCTATCCTTCTTCTTACCTCCCAGCTCCACCTCCTTGCCCCACTCACTGACGTCGTTAACCTCTCCTGTCCTCTGGTACTGTTTCTTCCCTTTAAGGAAGGACCGCTGTCATCATTCCTATCCTTAAAAAACCCTCCCTTTACCCTTCTCTACTCTCTAACTACTGTCCCATCTCCAACCTCCCTTTCCTCTCCAAGATCCGGGAACGAGTTGTTGCTTCTCAGCTTTGCTCCTTCCTCTCCCGCCACTCCCTTCTCGAACCCCTCCAATTGGGCTTCCGTGCCGCCCACAGCACAGAAAGTGACATTCTGTCCAACTGCGACCAGGGCTCCCTCTGCCTCCTCTTCCTTCTTGACCTCTGTTCCTTTTGACACCATCGCACACACTATCCTCATCCACCGCCTCTCCTCTCACATCAGCCTCCAGGGCGCTGTCCTTAATTGGTTCAGATCATACCTCTCACACTGCCTGCATTTCATCTCCTCAAATGGCTTCTCCGCTAACCCCCAGACCATCTCGTGTGGCATTCCTCATGTACACTTGGTCCCCTCGTCTTCAATATCTATATGCTTTCTCTTGGTGACATGATCCGCAGACATGGGGTCAACTTCCACATGTATGCAGATGACACCCAACTCTACCTCTCTGCCTCCACACTTGACTCCAGGACCACTGCTGCGCTGACAGAATGTTTGGCAGACATCAAGTCGTGGATGAGAGCTAATTTTCTTCAGTTGAACATCAACAAGACTGAGGCTCTCCTGATTGGCTCCCGTCAGCGCCTCCACACCTCAGGCGCTGACAGCATCACTATCCATGGTTGCACACTCCACCTTACTAAGCCAGTCTGGAACCTTGGGGTCTTATTTGACCCTCAACTATCTTTTCTACCCCACATCTGCGCCATGACCCGCTCTGTCTTCCCCCACCTCCATAACGTCTCCCGGCTCACACCACAGGCTGCTGAAACCCTCATACATGCTTTCATTACAACGGGGCTCGACTATGCGAAGTCACTGCTTGTTGGCCTCCCCAATTCCTCCCTCTACAGGCTGCAGATTATCCGGAACTCTGCAGCCCGTGTCCTCTACCACACTAGGCTCCATGACCCTATCACTCCCATCCTTGCCCAACTCCACTGGCTTCCCATCACACAGAGGATATAATTCAAGATCCTGGTCCTCACCTTCAAAGCTCTCCATGGTCTTGCTCCCTCCTACCTCTCCGACCTCCTAGCCCACTACCAACCTGTTTGCTCCCTCCGCTCAGGGGACTCCGGTCTGCTTCACGTCTCCCGCCTTGCTCGCCCCTGTTGGCGGCTGGGCTTTCCGCCACTCTGCCCCCACCCTCTGGAACTTCAACCTCAGTCCCTCCGTCTCGCTCCCTCGCTCGCCACCTTCAAGACCCTCCTCTTCAACCGTGCTTTCAATCTCCCTGCTTCCCCCACTGCCCTCCACCCTCCCCGACCCCCAGCTCGGTTCCGTAACTCTGTCTGTCCAGTACCTTGGGACATCCTCCCAACATGAAAGGCGCTATACAAACGTAATTTTGCTGCTGTTGTTCTTGAGAAGGGGTTGATGACAGCGGTTTTGAAGGAAATGGAAATTACCAATGGACAAGGAGAGATTAACAACGTTCATTAGCAGGGAGGCAAGGTCGTGATGCTGGGAACTCAGGAGAAGGATAAGGATTGAGCACATAGTGATGTACATGCAGGAGATGAGGGAAGAGACGGAAGAAGACAGGGCCGAGGATGTGGAGTAGAGGCTGGATAGAGAGTGGGGATGGTGGTGGCAGAGGTAGCAGAGCAGATCCTCTTGAATATACACCCGAGGGAATTCATTATCTCCTTGATTTTGGAATTAGAGGACAGGCAGAACATGGGAAGGTGGGCAAAGGTGAGGAGAAGAGGAACCTGAAGTTATGCTCGATGATCCTAGAACAGAGGTGAGGACAGAGTGATAGGTTTTAGGGCAGTCCAACTCGATTACCAAGATCTAAAATCTCTACTTCAGTATAGGAAATGTATTGTACGTTATAACTCTTGTTTATGTGTGTGATTAAGTATAGGTAATTTCCGTCTTTGTCTGAGATCTACTTAACGGTGTCAGCCACAGAGTTACAGTAAGTACCGTGGCTCTCAGAAGCTATATGTCAAAGTGTCTTTCTGTAAAACAAAGTGAAAATCGATAATGGCCTAAGAATATAGGAATTGTGAGTTCTTCTTGGATATCAGCAATTTAAAAAAATCTTCCCCTTCGCTTCATAGACTACGAGGATAGTGAAAAAGTAAAACCCCTTATGATTTACAGAGTTTTCTTATATTGGCTGTGATTGCTATATGCATTACATGGATACAGATGATAATACTCTGCATACAATAGATAAAGTTTTTTTTACTATCTTCTCATTTGTAATTGAGAATCTCAAGGGAACCATATGTATCTGGACCTTTTATAACTAAAGGTAACTTGTGCAATACATTTCTTTTAATTATTTCAGCAATGTCACATATAGGACCCAGTAGGATCCTGAAACAAAACAATTCAGAGCCAGAACCATCTTAGTATCTTGAGAAAGTACACTGTGGATTGAGGAGAGCAGTACTATGTCCTCATTAATTAGATTTGCCAATTCCTCAATGGTATTTTAATGCATACGCAAACCATCTCTCAAGCTTTGTTCCTCTGATGGATCATCTGATTCTGAACACGCATAGCCTTGGATAAATCTTTTCCATCTGAGGTTAGCCTCCTGTGGAGCCTCCTTTCCATGCCTGCCTCATATCCTCCTCAAAGAAAGAAAATCCAGCAATAACAGTTAATTCCATTATGGTGATAGCTCAGAGGATTAATACTGAGG